AGTGTTATGTTTTTAAAAGTTTCTAATATATCCTCATGCATGTAACATTCCTAATTTTTATTATAAGAGTAGTTAATGATAAGAAGAAATTTTTACATAAAAAACCCATGCATGTACATACTTCACCAACAATAATGTTAGCAACGGGGATCGCAATAATATCTGATATTTTTTTACGCGGGTCACTAATAACCTTCGGTTCTAACAATAAATAAAAATTTTCGTTTAAATCTTACATGAGAAACTTATAAATTAAAGGTTTAAATCTTACCAACACATTCACCAATATGATGATCTATAGCCTCAATAATATTTTGCTGTAACCTACTTATAAGATATTTTAATTTTCCTGTAATATAATCTCTTATTATTTTACTATTTTTCTCAGGATTCATAGAGTTCCTAAATATAAGATGTAGCGGCGCTTGCTATTTTTAAATTGAAAGAATGATTTAGAATAATAATATAATATCCGAAGGACTATTGCATTTATTAAAGTTTTTTTAATTACCATTTTCATGCCTTCACGAAAACTAAATACTTGATCATTTTTTAATACTTCATGAGTCGTTTCCTTTCCAACTACGGTCATTATTTGACCAAAGACATATAATGAAAATGTCTCTCCATACTATTAAAAGATCATAAATTATTAGATCACAAAAGAAGAAATATTTATTTTATTTCATTTATTTGATTAAAAAAGAAATAAAACCTTTTCTCGAGACTCTAAAATTAACTTTTCGCAATCCGTTAAAAAACTCCAAGTATGTCCGATAATTGGAAATCGATAATAAGCAAGAGGTGGTTCATTCTAAGAAAGTTAGCATTTATATTAACATAATATATAATTGTGAATAAATGCTAATGTGAAAAAATCTTACTAATTTGGTCCGCCTCGATAGTTTGAAAAAAACTGCTGTTAAAATTAATCCTATAATAAATGAATGAATATAAATATTTCCTAATAAGAGTTCGATCATTTTTTCCAGTTTTATTTTATTTTTTTTTCTTGAATTACAGTATTATCGTATGCTAACTTGGATGTTAATCAAGATTTTATGTTCTTAAATAAATTTTAGATTTATTCACACAAAAAAACCGGAGAAAAAATCCTTGATCCCAAATAGGTATAAAACTACTGCGTCGCAATGTTGTCATGGGACAGGACCGGATACTTTTTTTATTAGAATTACTTGGAAAGCTTGCATAGAATTAAACGGAGTATATAGTTATATTTTTTATATAAATTTGTTAGTTTCAGGAGTTTAACGTTTGGAACCACATCCCAAAAATAGCATGGCAAAGCAAAAACGTACGTACGTACGTACTGTACAACACCGGTGTACGGGTAATTATATGTCCGAATAATATAAGTATTAAGAAATGTTTGTTTCACCAACGTTATAATCAAAAAAAACTCCATAATGATAGTCTGCTAAGCATACTTATTCCTGGAAATCTTTTTAATTCATGCATTGATAACGTAAGCTAGATTAGATTCAAGTCTAAAACGAAATATAGTGAACAGTGGTCACTTACTGCGCTATTGTCTATTTTAAAGATCTTTCTTGATCAAAAAATTATTACGTATAACTATTAGTTGTAACGCACTAGCTAATCCCTAACGAATGTCCTTATGTCAAGGAAATCACGAGCTGCAAATCACTTCCGGAGGCCGATTTAGTCAGTAAATTAATGTTTATATTTTCGGTTTATTTATTTTGTTTTTTTTTCTGACGACTTTTTCTTATATCTTGTATTTATTTTCTCTAACGTTTATTATTTTCTTTTGAGATTTCATTACCATTACTGTTATTTAGCACTTCTAAATTCGGCACTTCTATACGTCGTTTGCTGGTGCTTTTCCTCGTGTGTTCTAGCTGCTTACACGATGTTGTTTTTCTTCGTTGTCTATTCGGGTATTTCTTCGTCTTAATGTCTACACAAAGGATGGTATGATGGTATTAATATTTTAGTATTAACGTTCATATCAACGTTTATATGAACGTTGGTATTAACGTTGGTATTAACGTTAACAAAAAAAAACTATAATGTATAATAATTGTAATAAAAAAAGATTGTAACGTATAATATAATAAAAAAGAATTGTAAAAAAAAAATTTAAACGGCTGTCTTCACAAATATGTATAATAATTGTAATAAAAAAGATTGTAACGTATAATATTATAAAAAAGAATTGTAAAAAAAAATTTAAACGGCTGTCTTCACAAATATGTATAATAATTGTAATAAAAAAGATTGTAACGTATAATATAATAAAAAAGAATTGTAAAAAAAATTTTAAACGGCTGTCTTCACAAATAAGATTTTTTAATCTTTGAGTAAAGATGCCTTGATAACTATTTAAACGAATCGATAAAAATTTTTTTATTAGATTTAAATAAATTTAACGAAACTTCGTTATTTAATTCGTGAGAATCAGCATCCGGAGTTGGACCAGAAGTATATGCACTGGCAGAACGTACGTACGTACGTACAATTTAGGATATATTGGTTTGTACAGTATAACCATTGTAAGTATAAATAAATATATCGCATCGGAATTGACATTTATACTTTTTTTCAATTCAAAGCCAAAGTGAAAAATAGAAAATAAAGAATTGACGAACGATAATCAACTAGATTTCAATAATTGTCAAAATTCAGCCGATAAGAACGATCCAGATGGCATATTATGGCTTGGTTATTGTTACGAATATGGGATTGGAACGGAAAAGGATGAAAAAAGAACTTTGAAGACATGCACACAAATGCAAGTCCAAACCCATATATATTTTTTGTAACCAGGTATGCAGAAAGGACAATGACAATTTAGGATATATAGTTTTAGTAAAAAATTTTTATTCAACGAGAATTTTCTTTGCTTCTTTGAATCTAAAATGTCAACTAGAAAACAGTCATCGGATGAAATTATCAAACTTGCTAGCAATTTTGACGAATTAAGTTTTGCAG